TCCACTCCAGGTGTGACAGTGCAGCCAGTCAGACTCCCAGTGCGGAGCAGTCTGATTCACTCCAGGTGTGAAGTGCTGTCAGTCAGACTCCTCTGTACAGCAGTCTGATCCGCTCCAGGTGTGACAGTGCAGCCAGTCAGACTCCCAGTGCACAGCAGTCTGATCTGCTCCAGGTGTGACAGTACAGCCAGTCAGACTCCCAGTGCACAGCAGTCTGATCTACTCCAGGTGTGACAGTGCTGTCAGACTCCCAGTGCGCAGCAGTCTGATCCACTCCAGGTGTGACAGTTCAGTGAGACTCCCAGTGTGAAGCAGTCTGATCCACTCCAGGTGTGACAGCGCTGTCAGACTCCCACTGTACAGCAGTCTGATCTGCTCCAGGTGTGACAGTGCAGTCAGACTCCCAGTGCACAACAGTCTGATCTGCTCCAGGTGTGACAGTGCAGTCAGACTCCCAGTGGACAGCAGTCATATCCGCTCCAGGTGTGACAGTGCTGTCAGGTAGACTCCCAGTGCTCAGCAGTCTGATCTGCTCCAGGTGTGACAGTGCAGTCAGACTCCCAGTGCACAACAGTCTGATCTGCTCCAGCTGTGACAGTGCAGTCACACTCCCAATGCACAGGCATCTCTCCACACTTTTCTGATGAAACTTAGAAAGGATGTTGAGTATCAGTGGGTGAACTTTCTCAATACCACCTTTAGTACAATGGTGGCTTGGTAGTTAGCACTGCTGCCTGATAGATAGACATTCTAGCCTGCATCACCCTCAGTGTGGAGTCTGTGTGCTATCCTCGGGGCCACCTGGCTGTTTGGGTGATGTAGTGTTTCTAAATTTTGTGTTTGGATATGAATTTTTTTTGGAAGCCAACATGATCTCAACATGACCACAACACAAGACCACCACAACAACTACACAACCTCAACATGACCAACACAAGACTGGCTTAACAACTACACAACATCAGCAAGACCAACACAACCTCAACATGACCAACACAAGACTGGCTTAACAACTACACAACGTCAACAAGACCAACACAACACTACACAACCCCAACATGAAAAACACAAGACCAGCACACCACCTACACAACCTCAACAAGACCAACACAATCACTACACAACCTCAACATGACCAAAACAAGACCAGCACAACTACACAACCTCATCATAACCAACACAATCACTACACAACCCCAACATGACCAAAACAAGACCAGCACAACTACACAACCTCATCATAACCAACACAAGACTAACACAACTTCACCTAGACAACAACACAAGACCAAAACAACCTCAAGATAACCAGCACAACAACTACACAACCTCAACATAACCACAGCACAACCAACACGACCAATATACCAGCTGCACAACCTCAACAAGACCACAACACAAGACCAGCACACAGGCCGGCTGCTGACTCTCACCCCCAGCGTTACAGCTATACAGCGACACGGTTCCTCTTCCTGCTGCTGTTCGGAGCATCATGGGAATGCCTCTGGTCGGCTTGTTCTCCCAGCATGCTCTGCCCCCGTGCTGTGCTGTCTGTGCTCTGACTGTCCGACTCTGGAAACTGCTGACCTCCTTCTCTCTCTCTCTCGCTGCCCCCCGCCCCCCTCCCTCTCTCCCCCTCTCAGTGGGTCGGTGCCGGGGGGGCAGCGGGGGGCGCTGGGGGGGGACGGGGAGGGGGGGCCGCGGCGCAGCGACAGCTCGAAGAGTGTGACGTCAGGTGGAGGGAAGATGGGGAGATGGCAGACTGTGCAGAGCCACCTGCACTCCGGCACCCTGAGGCCCAGCAAGTGAGTGACACACAGAGTGAGGGGGTCTGTGTCAGTGT